AAACGCTGGTTTTTGAAATACCGTTCGAAAATTCATAGAGTACAGGGCACTTCTTGGTCGAAGACTTGAATTCTGTTCGCGCCCGCTTGAAGAATGTGCGCCCAGGGAGATATCTAACATGAGGCCGTCGGCCTCTTTGCACGTAAAAATCAGCCGGCCCTGTCGGCGTGTGGGAGAGGCCTTTCTGTCTTCCCTACAGCGTCGTGGCCTCTTCTGCTTCCCGAGGGCTCCCTACACAAATCCACACAAAAATTAAACAACGTCGCCCTTCAGTCGAAGGGAAGCCCCTTCCCTTGATCCCTTCCCCGCCGGGGGGAGGGGTCGGGCAACTCCAGGGGGGATCCCCCCTCACTCCTGGGGGGAGGTCCCCCTCACTCCCGGGGGGGGGGGCCCCCCGCCTCTCATCCTCCTGCGCCCTGCGGCTCCGTTGGCCCTCCAGGGCCGTCTGCGGGCCCTTTGATCCCTTCCCTGCCGGGGGAGGGGGTCCCCCCTCACACTCCTGGGGGGGAGTCCCCGCTCGGATACGCAGCCCCCCGCCTCTCATCCTCCTGCGTCCTGGGGCTCCGTTGGCCCTCCGGGGCCGTCTGCGGGCCCTTTTAGCTTATCTTAAGGCTCCTTGGAGACCTTTCGCCATTTTTAGATTCTCTTGGCAGCATCTGGCGGCACTCTTGACAGCCTCTGCGGGCGCTTTTGGACCTCGCTTGACGCCGTCTTGGAACCCTCTCGGGCCACTTCAAGGCGCTCTTTGCCTATCTTGGCACTCTCTGGAGCCGTTCCCGAACCCTGGAGGAGGCCTCTTGAGCTGTCTTCGGACAAACTTGCAGGCATCTGGCGCCGTCTTCGAGCCATCTGAGGGCATCTTGGACTCCTCTACCTCCAGTCTCTTCGTCGTCGCTGCCTACAGGGTCGGCAACATCGGCCGTAAGGCCTTCGCAATACGTGCGCCGAAAGGGTATCGCACATGCGTCTGGCGCCCGTGAATTTGCCACGTGTTTTCACGTGTCCAGGCCACCCAGGGCGGTATCTGACATCAGTACCCCGACCTGGAACCACGCGTTGACAGGGTATCTAATATCGTGGTCCCGAGCTAGAACCAAATGTTTCCACGCTTCCAGGCCACCCTGTTAGACACCCAAATCACGCTCAGATCCGGGCGCTCTATTTGTTTCGCACCGGGCGGTCTCGCCCGCTTTCGTGCCCCGGGACCCTCACAGATCGATGCATGATGCACAAGCGGATGGAACCACAAAGATTTCTGCAAGGCCTTGGCGGGCGTTCGCGGAGCCGTGGATTAAAAACACAAGCGGATGATTTCTCAGCGGTGTTGCACTACCCTGTTCCAACTCTGGCGTGGCCCAGCGAAGGAAAGACAACCGGAAACCCAAGGTATCATCATCATCCTCATCCTCATCCTCATCCTCATCCTCATCCTCATCCTCATCCTCATCCTCATCCTCATCATCATCATCATCATCAGCATCAGCATCAGCATCAGCATCAGGATCATCAGTATCAGCATCAGCATCAGCATCAGCATCAGCATCAGCATCATCATCATCGCCAAACACCATCGTCATCGTCATCTTCATATTCAGCCGCAATGGGAAAACACAATCGAATCACTAAACATCCGCGCTGCTGACATCCAGCTTCCTTACTCCCCCTCCCTCCCTTCCCTTCCATCCCTCCCCCTCCCCTCTCCTCCCGGCTTCACTCCGCAGCCCGCTGTAACCAACATTATCCCATCCCGCCTCTCCAACCCACTACACACGGCCCACAACATCTGGCGGCTCGATTTCTTCGAGACGTGGTCCCCAGACCTCACGACCACTTCCCCGGGGCCAATGTTTCATCCCGAGCTGGTTTTGAGGATCATGGACCCGAAACTGGTTTCCGAAGACGCAGGACGAAGAAAACACCGGCCGTTCAGTAAACCCTGATAAGCGTTTCGCCGAACGCCCATCAGAAAATGAGCAGCACTCTTCTGACGGAGCCCACTTCTCGCTCTCTCAGCTTCTCTCTCTTTGTCTCTCCCTTGCTGCGGGACTGTCCCTCTGGCGGCCTTGTCAGGTACAGGAAGAAGGTGAAGATCCTGCACCACTGCTAAGCTGCAGCCGACGACATGGCTGCACACGGGAGGAAAGTCCAAGGCCGGGCTAATGGCGCTGTAGGCTAACGGCGTGGCAGGGTATATGGTTTTTGCGGCATCGAGCGCTCACAGAAATGAAGATAGGAAATCACGAACCACACGTTCCTACATGTTGAACCTGTTTTACTCTTCTATCGGAAGAAAACGACACAGCGAATTGTAGGAAACACGCAAACACCATGGTTTCCTACAAGTGGCTTGGCCACGGACCAGTCCCACCTACTTACAATGCCGAAACCTACCACAACGTTACGCCAAGCACTGTCAAACCGTCTACGGAAAGAGCACTGCATGCAATTGATTACCTACGCCACCTACCTTCACGAACCGCGCCCCGACATGCGCGACGCGCGGATACCTTCGCGCCCTCGCGAGGCTATCTCCGATGAGGGTCCAGAACGCGACGTGCGACTATATTCGCGCCCCTGTGGGCGACGTATACGTGGACCACACGGCGAATCGCAACCCATGCGTTACCACACGTCGCTAACACAGCGCCGATCATGACTCCGGCCACTCTGGGGCCGCTGATGCACAGGGCCCGCGGTCACGCGATCGGCAGACTCCAGAGAGAGGAATGCCAAATTAGGATACGTCGAGAATTTGAGACCAATGACGGATAGAAGGCGATACAGGCTATCCTGCGAGCTACGCCAGCACTCAGAACATCGAGCAGCCAGCCGACCGAATCGCTTCGCGAGCAGCTCTGTACTAGAGGCCAGGGAAGGCGCGGGGGATAAGGGTTTCATGTTTTTGGTGTCCGCGCCTGAACCCAGGTAGAGGCATTCCAGGCTGGGACAGGGGCACTCGGACAAATAACCATGATGCACTCATTTCCCTGCAGTCGTCCGATCGCCTTCTAAACGTGGTCCCGAAAGAGATATGGCGAGCAGAATCCGCAACTCCATCACTGCCTACCCTCGTTGACGCCAGCTCCGATAGCTCACTGTTTGAGACAGAAGCCGAAGTGCGCCGCCAAGTCACTTGCAGGGGCCTGTACTACGGTAGGTTCGCGCGGCGTCGGCGCAACTCGTCGATCGTTCAACCGTGAACCGATCGCGGCCCCGATCGTGCAAGGTTGCATTCCGTCGGGTCCTGTGGCGAAACCGTACCCCTCAGTGCTTCCGCGTCGTTCTATTTTGCGGAGTTCCAGCTTGAACGCTACTGCTGCAGGAACTTACGGGACTACTGAACCACGCGGCATCGCTTGTCCATCATGTACCCATCCACGGCCGCTGGCACTGCATCCATTCGAGCATCACGGCCTGCACATCCTGCCAAGCCTGGCCCCCGCACAGCACCGAGCCCTCACGACAGGTTCCACGTGATTGCTGTCCGCGGCACAAAGCTTCCTAACGTCCACCTTCTCCGTGACGTGTGTCTCGCCATCTTCTTGTGCCGCCGCGATCCCACCTTTCATTATCCGCGCCTCCGCCGTCCAGCTTTTCATTGCCCAACGGTCTCCTCACCCTCTCTTGTTGCGTCCTCCTCCTCATAATTACCATTCTCGGTCGAATATGTTCAGCCTCCCTCCTCCTCTTCATCCTCCCTCATCCTCCTTGTCCTCCTTCTCCTCCTCCTCCACGTCCGCCTCTTCCTCCTCCTCCTCCTCATCCTCATCTTCATCTTCTTCCTCATGTTGGCGATGTTCAGCCAGACATTGTCGGGCGTCGCGTGACAGGCCGTAGCGTGCGTCCAACCACACATCTATCCAGCCACCCACCAGACCACCGCACCATCCCATCTCACCTCCTGCATCCGTGCTCTGTAAAAAAATGAGACATCGCGAAAATCGCGGAGGCAGCCCTAGACCCCGTGTTTCTGCATCCGAGATGGCCGAGACTGGGCGACGACGCCTGGCTCGAAAAAACCAAGCACCAAGCTCTGAGGGCAATGCCGTTCCTATTGGCTGGCCCGCTGACCGCCGTGCGTCGCTGGCTTCGCTCGGGGGCCTGGAGCTGCGGGCGTCTGGGCTCCCCGCTCCAATCCCCCGCCGCCAGCGGCGGCCCGGCGATCGCAAGGGATGCGCCCGGGGTGCACGCCCGAACCCAATATACACAACCTCACTGGAATTTAGGGATCTAGTTCACGCGATAATCTCAGGCATGCTCGCGTCGTGAGCAAAATCATGACGACTGGTTTGTCGTTTTTTTTTTCGGCTTCAGAAAACGACTCAGGCTGAAAAACAGGTTCCAGGGAATGGGTAGAGATCTCTAGGGGTCGACGTCATGAGTTCACGCGGTAGTGGTGCAAGGATGAAAGTATTTGGGCGCGTGGAGGTTTTGTTTGGGGTGAGCGTGGATTGCAGCGATTGTGGTAAACGGCACTGCGCATGCACGAATGCAGCGTCGATTGCCCAATTAAATAACAACATAAGTATCATCGTCATGGCGGCTTCGCCGATGCATCGGCGGCGTCGGCGTGGAGGAACTCAAGCTCCGCATCGAGCCGCTTCGCCGATACATCGGCGATGCGGCGCGATCCCAGGATCCCAGGATCCCGTCTACTCGGATTTCATTTGGAGGTCTGAAGACTCCTCGAGCGCACTTTTTTATTCGCGGCCATTCGGCGCGTTCTGGGGGAGAGGGGGGGGTACGGGAGGGGACACAACTTACGCGCCCCCCTCAGATTGTGGTGCTGGACACACTGCTGCAAAGCTGGGGACGCGCTGAGGGGGGGGGGACGTTACCGTTATGGGGGGAGGGGAGGGAGGGGAAGTTAAAGGGTACGACGCGGGTAATGGTCCAGAGGGTTAACAAAAAGCATTCTCTTCGTCTGTCCTTCCCTGCATCTCTCCGAACCCTGCCTGCCCCCGTTCCTCCCTCTCTCCCCTTCCAGTCCAGCTCGGGTCCTTGGCCCGTACGGCGCGTTATACTCCTCGGGGTTGGCCAGGAGGGAGGTGTCCAAGAGGGTGGGGCGCAAACAAATCATGGCGCGGCATGTGCGCGGCCCGGGGGGGAGCCGGGAACGTATCTGAGGAGATATCATGGCCCCCGAAATCTGAGGAGATATCATGGCCCCCCGCCATGAGATCCCCCCTAGCCATCACGCCCCTCTTGGCCGCCCCCGAACTCCTCGTCCAAGACGTCGGCGTGCGCGCTGTAGAACTGGCCGGGGACATACCGGACAAACTGCGGGTACTCGAACAAAGCCGAGGGCAACCCGAGCACCTGGCCGTCGCCCCGTCTCGTGGCACCCGTTCCCTTTGCACACAGGAGCTGCTTCTACAATAAGAGCTCGACCACAAGATCCCTTCCACAAGAAACCCAACCTCAAGACCCCAGGACGTCCATGATTTTTGGTGTGGGAACGTCACGTGTTAAAAAGCAAAACCATCAACCAAAGGCACCCTGGAGGCAAGCAGGGTGTTTCTTGGCATGGGTTTCCACTTTACGCCCTGGGCCGTGCCACGGCGAATATAGAACGCTACTATCGGCCCATGTTTTGACGCAGGCGCGTCACAGCTCAAAGAGACTCTTCAGCGGTAGCAGGGGCAGGAGGAGCCAGGAGGCACTACTTTGTCCCAGGGAGCGAGCACGTGTGGAACGCCATCGACCGAATTCCATGCAACTCGACTCAATACCAGTCCAGCGTGGCGCGGAACTCGATCAGCATGCACGACTCGGAATCCATCTCGGCCCCCTTGGGGTTCTCCAAGACGCGGCCGATGTCACTTCCGGACCACTCGTCGAGGTCCAAGAAGGGTACCTCCACGAGGCCGACCAGCTTATCTTCGAGCAAGTCGTCCACCAGGCCGTTCGTCACAGCGTTCGCCACATGCTGGCGGTACACCTCCAGCCGAAGGGCCGTGTCCACGGCGTGCACGTTGAAGTTGAAGACCTCACCCCAGCGGGGACAGCACCCCGGCAGCGTGCGGGTGCGGCGGCGCTGATCACCGACGGAGACAACGGCGCGGGCGTCGCTGGCCACGAACCTAAAGGCCTCCCAAATGGGGTCCGAGGAGATGTGGTCGGACGACCGCGCCGCACCGACGATGCATCGGCGATACATCGGCAACGCCGGCGATGCATCGGCGATGCATCGGCGACAGCTGGACGAAGAAAATCGGGCCCCACATCGAGCCGCATCGCCGATGCATCGGAGGTGCAGCGCGGCCCTCCGACCGCATCTATGCAGGTTCGTGTCGTCACGCCCCTCGCTTTGGTTTCAGACATCGCGTGGATCCTTCAACCTTCAACGATCGGCGATACTTCGATCGCCAGATCGTTTCGTACTGGACGATTCTGGGCCACCAGCGGCGTGTTCACCCTTGAGCGCCCGCAGCGGGGTCGCTGCCGCGCCGACACGACACCAGAGGAGCAAAAATAAGCATAAGCAGAAACTTTTGGCGCTCCGCGCGGATTTCTTGGATCCGCGCCGACCCCGCCAGGGGCGGCTCTGGAGGCGCCAGCGGGGAGGCCCAGCGCGGATCCAAGAAATCCGCGCGGAACATCAAAAGTTTATGTTTCTGCCGCTTTTCTCTTCTTCGAGACACGACACGAATCTACCGCTCTCGGACACCATCTGAGAGGCCTGGAGAACGGCGGCGAGCGAGGAGGGGAAGTGAGAAGGAGAAGGAGAAGACCTTCTCAGAGGGCGGCGGGACTTCTCAGAAGCCCTCGCGCCTTCTGAGAAGTTTGTTGTGTTTTCGGGGAAGGCTTAGAGAATCTCTGAGATGGCCTGGGGCCTTCCGAACCTTCTGAGAAAGCCTCCTCCTTCTCACTTCTCACTGCACCGACCTTGCAGACGTGCTGCAGCGGATTATTGCGTGGATTTCTGCCAAGGCAAAACCCCGAAACGGCGAGCGAAAAATGAAGTTAATTTCACGTGGATTTTTGTAGCCTCCATTTCTGGTCAGAGAAAAGCACAACATTCACATCGAAATCCGGAACGAAATTCTCTAGGACTGTCCGGGTCCATGCCATGGTTTTCCGAACGAAATCCGCTCTGCGAAGTCGGCGCCATAATACTTCCCCCCTCACTCGCCGCCGAAGAGAACCAGCCCTGGGGACTTCCGAACCTTCTGTCGGGAGCGGCTGAGAGGGAGGCGTCAAAGAAGCATGGCCGGCGGCACGTGCGCGGCCCAGGAGGGGGGCCGGGGACGCATTGAAATAATAAGAAGAAGCGCCATGAAATCTGGGGAAGCATCATGACCCCCGCCATGATGCCCACCCACCCCTGGTCATCACACCCCTCTTGGCCGCCCCCGATCCTGAGGAGGCCTGCTCCTTTTCACTTCCGCCCTATGGTCGCCGACGAGGAGTGAGCAGGGACCGACCGTCGCGGCAGTCCTATAGGCCCACCACGACATGTTCTTAGAACCCCAAAAAGTTTTAAGAACGCGCCATGTT